GGGGGGGGGGGGGGGGGGGGGCTGTGGAAATGAACTAAAATTTCCCATCTTGTATTGCTAGAATAGCCTCAGTGTAGATTTCGTACTGTCATGAGTGCTATGAATAACTTTCTCTCCAAATTGTAGTTGAGGCATTGTTACATGGGATTTCAAACAATTTTATTGTAACTTCTCTACGGCTTTATAGTTAATTTCAAAGACTGACCAGGAGAGCAGAGGACTCGGGCTAGAAGTGATGCCTATTGTCTATTTTATGTTTACTAATTTTAAAAAGATTTTGTGTGAGAATACCACACTGTGATAAAAGGTTGGGACATGCACAAATGAAAGGTTGAAAACACAGCTGCTACACTTATGAAAGGTTAAGGATCTTGGATGAAATTTCTCCATCAGAATGCTTAACCATACACGTAGCAAAACAAAATTAGAGCATATCAAATATTAATGTTGATTGCATAAAAAAGTTGTCATATAAGTAAAAATAGACAACGCCTGTACAAATTCTTCTCCAATGATTAATCTAGGTGAAACATCTAGCCAAAAAAATAAAATAATGACTGTGGTAGATGCCATCTAATTTGTTTCCCAGCAATTTTGTATCGTTGCAATAGTTCATCAGCCGCAATTTTGGACAATTTTGTTTGTGTGGGACCCACCTCTTTTGAAAAAAAGGGTTAAACAATGCATTTTCTCCTATTTTTATTTTTTATTTTTTTTTCTCTTTTACTTTTTTTTTTTATCAAAATTAATTTTTAATCTCTCTCTCTTAGTTTTTATCCGAAAATTATCCCAACTCATATGAACTTGTACATACCGACTCATCAACTTATACCCTTAAACCAAAATTTATTAATTTAAACTTTATCTAAAATTCAAAATAAACTTTCGTTTTCTAAGAATATTATTCAAAAATAATTTATTTTGGGTAAATAGTGCAGAACATCCCTACCCTTCAATGTCATTGTGGAAAACGTCCATACCTTTCATTTTTGGCATTTTCATCCCTACCTTTCACCTTTCATTGCGCAAAAGGTCATTTTCAACTATTTTTTAATAAAAAACGATTTTACCCTCTTATTCAAATTAAAAAAAAAAAGAAAAGAAAAGTTAAATAACAAATTGCAATCATACCCTCAAACTTTTTAAAAAAGTGTAAATGAGTCCAAATAAATTATTAAAAGGGTAATTAGCACAAAACGTCCCCACCTTTCATTATTATTATGCAAAACGTCCATACCTTTCATTTTTTAATATTTGAACCCACACTTTCACAACCTACCAAACTGTCACCTATAGATCTACATAGAATCACCTTTCGGCAACCACGCCTATCGGACTCCATTACCACCAACCTCACTTCACTCCCCCATACGAATTTGAAGATTGGAGTCCTTAGAACCCACCAATTTTGGTTAGACAGTTCAATCCGTGCATCGCACCCGTGGAGAGATTTGGACCAGAAATTGAAACGGTGGGAGGATAATTGGTTCAATTAGATTCATACTCATTGTCGTTTTTTTTTGTTGATAGTTCGATTGATGCCAATTTGGGGATTTAGTGTTGTAGGATGCATGAATTGAAGGAGACTAGTTTGACAAAATAGACGTCGCCACTGTTGAATGTCTAGATTACAGTAGAATGATTTAAGGTAGGTTTGATTGATGTGAGACCATGTATAGGTTTGTCGAGGTGAGGGGTAACCGTCGATGGTGGTCGGCGACCGTGGGTGACGCCGAAAATGAGATTGCTGTGAAGGGTTGTATATGGCAGTTTGGTATTTTAGGCTGCAAATGTGGCTGTTTTTGACAGATTTTGTGACCAATACTGTGGGAGGGGATGTTGGGGAGATGAAGCGAGGCTAGTGGTGGTGGTGGAGTCGACGGGCGTGGTGGCCAGAAGGTGATGCTATGTAGATCTATAGGTGGTGGCTTGGTGGAGTTGTGAAAGTGGTGGTGGTGGAGAATTTATGACTTATCTGTAATATTTTGAAAAATTTAGAACTATGATTGCAATTAGTTATTTATTTTTTATTTTATTTTCTTTTTGTTTCATTTGAATAGAAGGGTAAAATCATCATTTTATTGAAAAATTGTTGAAAAGGACCTTTTGCGCAATGTAACTGTGGAAGGTAGGGGTGAAAATGTCAAAAATGAAAGATAGGGACGTTTTGCACAATGACATTGAAAGGTAGGGACGTTTTGTGCTATTTACCCATTTATTTTCTCCTTAGCTGGATTTGAATTAGAACAATCAAGATTGAGATTTGAATTAAGATCTTGATTGAAATATCTAATGAAAGAAGAACTCCCATCTTTAGACATTTTGTTAAACTCGTTTGTATTTTTTTTTTAAAAATTGGAACTTTAGCTGCAATTTTTTTAATATTATTTCTTTTTTTCTATTTATTTACTTAAAGATGAGGGTAAAAAATGGAGAAAGTAGATTGTAAAGACCTTTTGCGCAATAAAAGTAAACGAGAGGGACATTTTGTGCAATGAAGGCAAACGAAAATGACCATTTTCTCCAATTACCTGTATTTGACCGAAGAAATTGACGAAAGGAGACAAAAATGACCATTTAATTATTTAACTTATTAGAAAATAGCACATTTAATTATTTAAATATAGCAGTCAATAGTCATGATTATTATATTAGAAAATAGCTCATTTAATTATTTAACTTATTAGAAAACTTCATTGGTATTTGTTACAGTTAAAAATTGACTTATTAGTTTATCTTATTTTCTTCTTTAACGATACATACAATAAGGAGTGGGGGTATTTCTTCACATCCTTTTCGATGCCTAAGTCAGAATATAACAATAGAAAACAAGATGATTTTAAAAGATTATATTTCCTAGTAGACTTCATTTATAGTTGTCGAGTATTGTAACAGAGTTCTATTTGAATGGAACTTACAAAGGCTTTATGACTTGGTTGGCATAATTTTCATCCTAATATTAGGAGAGTAATGCTATTTAATTTATCATTTTATGTCATAGTGCTACCTACCATTATTTTAACAAAACTCAAATTCTTGTAGCCCACCTCAACATCTGCAATATTTTCCAAGAAAAGAGAGCAATTTATTGTACAATTAAATTGGTCAATGCTTGAGAGACATACTCGGTTTAATTATGGAAGTGTAGTCTTTGATGTTAGAACTTAGAAGTGGGATGCCATTATTTTAGCAAAACTCAAATTCTTGTAGCATTACTTTTTAATGGTCCTTATCGAGAAGAACGTGCGTCATGATGGGTCTAAAGGAAGAATTATTGGGCAAATATGAAAAAATAGAATTATTGACAGCACATGTATGGCTGCTTTTAATTTATTTTTGTATTTTTGTCATCTTTCAATGATAATCTATCAAGTGTCAATTTGTATGATTTCCATGAAGACAATACGAGTAGTTGACCCTATTAAACCTATGTTTGGCCTCTATTTTTTCAAAACTCATTTTTAATCACACATTGTCTCATAATATAATTTAACCATACAAAAAAATCACTATTCCAAAATATATTTTCTTACCAAAATGGGGCTCAAGGGCTAAATTTACACCTCTAATTTAATGTGAGAAAATAGCAGATACAAATATCCATGGACGATAATCAATTATTAGCTTCTTTATTAATAATCTCCAAGCCAGGATACATTTTACTTGTACACACTCAATTTCTCCATTTTTGGATACTGTTCACTGCAGATCTTTTACAACCTTTTAATCATACAAAAGGCTGTTCAATTGGTCCCAGTCCCACAAGGGTACATTGCCAATAGCCGTAATATCATCCCAGTTGTTAACAGAATTAGCAGCATGGTCTTCTGAGGATGAAATGTTATATGAAAAAATATCTGATACTGCATTGTGGTTTTGTTCAGATGTTGTTGCCTCGTTATTGTGATCATGCTGGTCGTGCATCACGGGCTGACCACCTTCTGCCTCCTGCGATGGTCGCCTGTCAAACGACCTTATGCATTTTGATTTTTTGTAGAGTCGGCATAAACTGAATTCTTCAGTTATCTGCATGAAAAACAAAAACAAAGGTGTAGAAGACAATACAAACACAGAGTTGAGACTCCACGTTCCGTATGAAAGGTTAATTTTATGGACATTGCTACATCTATGTCCAATATTACATAATTGACTGCATGATGTCATATGACACTCTATCATTGAATAGTTTAAAACACAATGAACTTCTTCATCCAATCATTTCACTACACATCATTTTCTACACACTTTCTAGAGGTACTTTTTTGGACAAATAGTATAATCCTAATTTTGTTAAAAGAAGTAATTCAGACCTTTACATGTTGTATTTCATATTTATTTTATGTCAATTTACTCTTGACATGCACACTAGAGAACTAGTTGATGTTCAAAGAAACCATATCTAACATATAGGGTAATAAAAGAAAACAAAAACCCTATACATATAGGGAGTAATTTAGGGTTTAGCCCACTTTTCCAATCCCCTAATTTTCGACATTAATTTTATTACCGAGTTCTCGAGATTTGCAGATTTTAATTTATATTGATAAAAATGGATTCTTTCCTCTTGACATTCTCTTCTGAAGCACTTAGATCATTGAACATGCATGGTTGTGTCCAAGTAAGGCAGTTATCAAATACATGTTGAACCATAAGTTTAAGTCTCATTTGGGAAGAACTTATAAATAGTTTAAGGCACCGTTTGGTACACATTATTTTTCATTCTCATTTTTCTACTCATTTTCAACCACACATTTTCCATCAAATCAATAACTTTTCCTTCATTTTTAACCACACATTCTCCATCAATCTACTATTCAATAATACATTCTTTCAAAAGAATGTGTACCAAACACACTCTAATTTATAAAAATAAATAGAAATAAACGACCTATAAATGGATCCTGCT